GAACATGTGAATGAGAGGGTGTTTGTTTACTGTATTGCATGCTCCATGCTATCACTGCCTGGATGATTATTTCATGTCTACTTAGTCTCTCTTGACAGACAGCGACACTCGTAACCTCGTTCTACAGTCTGTTAGTTACCGTGGTCTGATTACCGTTAGGTCGGCTTATCAAAAATTGATGGTGATGCTTGCGCAAACAAATCCCTCTGAGACGCGCCTTTGACACGTCAGAACTGTTTTAAATTGAGTGCATTGCTTCAGTGTAGTGTCATAGCCTTCTTCGGGCTCTTCCCCTTTTTTTGACCTCACTCAGTGTCCATTTCCACCATTTTCGCTGAACTGGGCACATTCTGGGTCATTTGTGTAGTTCAAGCTCTTGAGCCCTGAAAAACCTCCAAAGGCGTGTCATCAGGTTGATAGCAACCTATTCGCCCTTCCTCCACGTTTCTGTGACCTAGTAAGTTCTTAGGCTCGAAACCACCCTGTCTATGAAGGTAAACCTGTCGATAGACAGGCTGGTCGATCTGAGTTTGAAATGACGTGTTAAGCGACTTACCGCATTTGGTTATTCGACATTTTCCCATTTCTACCCAACTTTCATTCAAATTCATCCCAGGGCTAGTTGCCTCGTTATTAAATGCCTAATTGTGCTTCTTCCAACATGTAGTGTGCAAAATTGAGCGAAATAGAGGCAGTTTCATTATTGTTGCTCTTGTTTGGATTAGGGGTCGCACACACGGAATGTCCGGTCCGGAATAACCTTATATGGTAACCCGCTTAACACGTCATTTCAAACTCAGATCGACTGGTCTGTCTATCGACAGAATTCATAGACGGACGGTGACCGGTCTAGTAAGTTCTGCGTCGCGTCAACTCTTGCACCCAGCATTCCACGTGATGTCCCAAAATGGATGCTTATATAATAAGGCGACCTAACGGTAATCAAGGCGCGTTTAACTAATAGACTAATGTCTACTTGGCACTGTTCATCTGTGTGTGGTCCTGACTGATGTCCTAACGTCGATTAAACTCACATACACATTCTCCTTCGGTTGTCGATTAGTTTCGGGGTCCCATCAGCCGAAGTGATAACTCGTATCACTGCCGGACGGGGCAAAAGCGTGGCGCTCCGGGTTTCCATAGTGCTCCGTTTGGTTCCGATAGGTGGGTGAGAAATCATCATTTCTTATCCCCGAGGGGATGCCTCGTTCTTCCTCCGCCCATTCCTCACCCAATTCTCGGCCTATTCACAAGGTTGAGGGCTCATTTTGCTGCCTCGACCTCAGGGCATATTTGCAATATGCACTGGATACTGAAATAACTCCAGATTCTCCGTCATTCCCCTCAAGAATAGCGAAACCTTCTTCTGGGTGCCGCCAGGTAAACCACTACATAACGACCCACCTGACGCTCCTGTGAGCCCAGCGTCTGGCATGTGTAATTGGCACATGCATTAAAACGACCTGACATCTCCATTTCGCCTTTCACCCTCCAGCATCGCGTTCGCTATGGGTCATTGCATCGAACTAGCCAATTTCAGTGTCGGGAATAGATGGATTTTGTTCAGAGGGTTAATACGATGGAATGGCTGCCCAATGTACCTAGGTATGCGCTATTACTTCTTATCCATCCCTCCAGCACTTAATTTGGCCCAAAAATCGTCTCACTGCTTTGTAGCGGACGCGATTTTGTCGATACCTCTATTTCCGCCCTCCTCCCTGGCAGGAAGGCCTAGTAATTATACCCCTTGTACCCCTTAAATTTCCGTTTTGAAGGTGTAGAATCATACCTTAGAATCCCTGAGTGGTTTCGAGTTAACTGGCCTGCATGTTACGAGTCCCAACAGCTTATTTAGGCCGGTGGCCCACTAGCCCATTGATGGCCATTTTGGGATACCACCCAAAATAAATTCGTCGAGGGCTCAAAACACGACCTAAAATTGTCCGAAAATATCCCATCTCACTCTCAATATGTCTGTCCTCAGCCTGGGGTCGCGACCCGGATATATATTGCCCTCCACGAGCTTGAGCGGCGGCTAAAAGTGTCAAGGTGGCCCAGTACCCGGTGACTAATAGTACCTGTTCTTTTGGGGGTAAGATGATGCTCACCCCATTTTGAGTGTATAGTTGGTGTTGAAAACGTCTGCATGCCATTGAAGGTGGAGGGACTGGTAACTGTTTCAATCTGCACTTCAATTTATGGTTGGGAATCAAAATTCTGTTCACTGAGATGAAAAACATTGATGACAAGCCTACATCACCCGACCCCGAATTGAACGAGCTTCCTGCATAATAAGCCAAACGGAATGCCGGATTGTAAGCAAGGGCACACCATGTGCTATCGGGTGTTTTCATACCTATTTCCTTGATCAGTGAAGTGATGAATAACAATTGCTCATGGAAATCAAGAATTGTAACCAAGGGCAGGCACACCTTGTACTATTGGGGAAAAAATACATGGGACTACCGACGAATCACCTGACCTCCAATCGAACGAGGGACTCTTGCATAACTATCGTTGTGCGGAACCAGGTGTTTTCATACCTGTTCCTTCGTTGGTGAGGTGATGCTCGATTTGACCTCATTCGGAGTAGACAGTTGGTTTTTCCTTTCTTTCTTTTTGCTGAGGGCAGGCACACCGTCGCAGGCGTACCGGTCACCATGGATAACCGTACACTAGATTTCAACCTGGCGGCAAGATCCTGTTGACTGGGGCAAAAAGTGCTTGACAAATACACATCACCCAACTCTGAATCGAACGAGGAGCTCTTACATACTAGTTACTCCATGATAACTAAGCAACAGTCAGCGAGGGCACACCACGTGTTATCGGGTGTTTTCGTACCTATTCTTTTGTTGGTAAGGTGATGCTCTACTCGGTGTCATTCTGAGTGAACAACCAATCTTGAAATGTTAACTTTTTTTTTGGGGGGGGAGGGGGGGGGTTGGGAAAAAAACAATCCTTGAACACCGCCAGATCACCCGACCCCGAATCGAATGAGGACCTGTTGCATACCAAGTCTTGGGCTAGAAAAGCCAGAACAGTGAGCAAGGGCATACCATGTGCTATCAGGTGTTCACATACCTGTTACGTTGTTGGTAAGGTGGTGCTCAATTGACTTTGTTCTCAGGCATGAGTGAACAAACAATCAGTGTTGGAACATAATAAGTGCAACGGAATGCCGGATTATAAGCAAGTGCACACCATGTGCTACCGGGTGTTCCTACACTCATTCTTTTGTTGGGAAAGCAATACAGTACTCCAGTCCAGTAGAATAAAATCCTCTTGGGTCGGGCAAAAAAACCATCATTCATCTTGACGAATTACCCGACCCCGAATTGAACGAGGGACTCCTGTCTGCCAATTACTGGGGACTCAAGAATTGTAGACAGGGCACACCATGTGCTATTGGGTGTTTTCATATCTGTTTCCTTGTCGGTGAAGTGATGCTCAACTTGACTTTGACCATGGTGTTGAAAGAAAGAACAAAATAAAACGACGAATATATTGAACAGGCTGCCTAAGCATACCGTCGAAGACTTGATGCCTGATTTCACCCTGGAATCAATCCTCCTGATTCAGAGAAAAACGATGAACGGCAGGCCTATCACCTGACCTCGAATTGAACGAGGACCTCCTGCATACCAAGTCTTGGGCTAGAAAAGCGAGAAAAATGAGCAAGGGCACCCCATGTGCTATCCGGTGTTTTCATACCTGTTCCTTTGTTGGGAACATGATACACTAGAATAAAATCCTCTTGACTCAGAAAAAGTAATTGTCTACACTCATCACCCGACCTCGAATTGAACGAGGGACTCCTGCACAACAGACTTTCTACAGAGAATTACAGCTAGCAGGGGCACACCATGTGCTATCAGGTGTTCCTACACCTAGTTCTTTGCTGGTAAGGTAATGCTCTCCTCAGCTTCATTGCAAACAAAAGTTCGGCTTAGGCTTGCCAACGAAGGTGGACTTACTGCAGCTGGTACCAATTTGATTTGAGGCATCCTCGAATAAAGATCGTGTTAACTTGTGTTGGGGGGTTGGAAAAAAACAATCCTACAACACCGCCAGATCACCCGACCCCGAATTGAACGAGGACCTCTTGCATAATAATTCTGAACTCCTTCGCCTAACAGTGGGCAAGGGCACACCATGTGCTATCGGGTGTTCATACACCTATTCTTTTGTTGGTAAGGTGATGCTCTACTCGGCTTCATTCTGAGTGGATAGGTGGTGTTGAACTAAAAAAGAGTTGACACATTGACTGACCAGGGTTCCTCCAAGCACACTGTCGAAGGTGGATGGACTGGTTCAATCTATCTTGAATCTTTGACTTCAATTGGTGAAATTAAAACCTGTTGACTTTGAAAAAAAAAAAAAGTCGATGTGCGACATGCCAATCACCCGACCCCGAATCGAACGAGGATCTCTTGCATAACACCATGCTCAAAACTTCATTACAGGTAGACAGTGCACACCATGTGCTACCGGGTGTTCCTACACCTGTTCCTTTGTTGGGAATGTGATGCTCGATTTGACTTACCTTTATTCTGAAGGAACAACCAGCCTCGCTTGCAAGAGAAAGGGGTTGACACATTGGCTGGCCAGGCTTCGCCCAAGTGTACTGTTGCAAGTGGATGGACTGGTTCAGTCTCAATTCCAATCTAAATAAAACTTCTCTTGGTTCAGAAAAAAGGCTGAACTGCAGGCTTATCACCCGACCCCGAATTGAACAGGGAAACTCTTGCATAACGGCTTGCGTGGACGCAGAATGGTTAGAAGGGGCACACCATGTGCCATCGGGTGTTTTCATATCTGTTTCCTTGTCGATAAAGTGATGCTCAATTTGACTTGATTCTGAGTGGATAGTTGGTGTTGAACTAAAGAAAAGTTCACTGGCTGTCCAAGGGTACCATCGAAGGTGGAGGGACTAGTTCAACCTGTCCTCTAATAATAATCCTCCCGGCTCAGGAGAAAACTCGATTTCGGCCGCCGAATCACCCGACCTCGAATCGAACGAGGACCTCCTGCCTCCCAATCTTACATACACACTCGCTAACCGTGAGCAAGGGCACACCATGTGCTATCGGGTGTTCCTACACCTATTCTTTTGTTGGGGAAGTGATACGCAATTTGACTTTGTTTTGAGTGGATAGTTGGTTTTTTCTTTCTTTCTTGTTGCTTAGGGCAGGCACACCGTCGCAGGCTCACCGGCACCGGTCACCATGGATGACGGTACACTAGATTTCAACCTGGTGTCAAGATCCCATTGACTGGGGCAAAAAGCCCTTGACAAATACACATCACCCGACCCTGAATCGAACGAGGGATTCTTGCATAACAGAATTGTTTATCGAAATCAGTAATTGTAAGCAAGGGCACACCGTGTGTTCATTCACCTATTTCCTTGTTGGTGAGGTGATACTCCATTCGACTTCATTCTGAGTGAACAACCAATGTTGAAAGGAAAGAACAAAAGAAAAAAGATTGAAACATTGGACGGGTTGCCTAAGCATACCATCGAAGGCTTAATGCTACATTTCAACTTAAATAAAACTTTTCTTAATTTAGAAAAACCAATTGACCACAGGTGTATCACCCGACCCCGAATTGAACGAGGACCTCCTGCCTCCCAATCTTACATACACACTCGCTAACAGGTAGCAAGGACACGCCATGTGCTATCGGGTGTTCCTACACCTATTATTTTGTTGGTAAGGTGAGAATTGACCGAACTCAACTTCGTTCCGAGCGGATACTTGGCGTTGAAAATATCTGTATGCCATTGAAGGTGGATGGACTGGTAATTGTTTCAATCTACACTTCAATATGTGGTTGGAATAAAAATCCTCTTGACTCAGGCAAAATTTCTTTGGCAAGTACTCATCACCCGACCCCGAATCGAACGAGGGACTCTTGCATAACAGCTGTTGTGGGAACATACAGGTAGCAAGTGCACACCATGTGCTATCGGGTGTTTTCATACCTATTACTTGGTTGGGAATGTGGTACTCGATTTGGCCTTGTTCTGAGCGAACAGTTGGTGCACTAAAGAAAAAGTTTAACACATTGAATGGCCTCCTTGGAAGTTTGAAGGCCAGGAAGGTGTGGGTAGCATAGAAGAAAGAGAGGGTAAGGCTGAAGGCTGAAGGTTGAAGGCAAGGTAAGTTGAAGGCGATCTATGCGCGTCATCCGATTGCGGTTCTAGAATTCGAAGTCGAGAGTGGAAGCGAGATGCGCGAGGGGAGACTGACTTAGGGGAGAGGAGAGGAAATTGAATTTAGACTCGGGAGGTCCGCGGGCTGGGTGGGAAGCTTAAGGCCTAGGGTGGGACTGGGACTGGGACTGTGGGCGCTTCGATGATCCACGGCTTGGTGGGAGTTTGCGGGATCCTTAATTGCGCGATTATTAGGGTCCAGGACGACGCGCCTTGCGAGGCGCGCGCTTGTAGTCGACAAATTGAAATGCCAGTGTTGCTGGAGGACTCCGGGGTCTACGGATGTTTATGAAGACGGGGGTATTGGGTAAGGATGGCAACACTGAAATCGACCTGTCGACCCGCATATATATTCACCGGCACTGGCAGCGGCCGTTCGTAATCGTGTCGCCGATGCCCGGGCGCGATGTTTGTCGCGATCGGTGGCGTCAAATGAATGAATGTTTCGGGCTCAGCGCTACGCAGATAGGTTGAGGACGTTTGTAGTGTTTTGTGGGTTGTTGAAAGACGAAAGACGTAGGTTGGACCTCTAGTTTGAAGGATCTTGACGGCGTCGTCTCGGCGACTCAGAGTCTTGGTTCCCGATTGGTTCCCGAAAAGACCCTAGACAGGATTCTTGAAAACTTGAAAACTTGAGTTCTCCTTGAAAAATTTAAATGACACCCTCCCGCCGGCGCTGTCGCCAGAGCAAATCCCGCCCCAACGTAGCCGCCTGAACAAACCCCGAATTCATTGAGACGGAGGCAGATCGAGGCGGCCGTGTGGCAGTGCATCACCACGTGGCTGTGCGAAAAATTAGCTTCCGAGCGTTGTACACCCAGTCAGGGGTCAATTCCTCCCTTCCTCCTCCCCGTCCCTGCCCTCACCAGTCCTCCCCACCACCCACAACCCACTCTCAGTCCACCCCTTGCCAGGTACAACCACTTTTCCTGCGCTGAAAGGGCGCGAAAGGGCCTAGTGACAAAGCACCCCTGTGCCCTCGTTTGTGTCTCGTGTGTCCTCCCTGCGCGCAACATAGCCACGATGGATGTATCGGAGAGCGAGAATACCCAACCACAGAACTTAGCGACGCTGGTGGGTCCCTTCTTACGCGCACGACTTTGTATCATCTCATCGGATTTTACAGGACAACACTGAAAAGAAGGACGACACCCCCGTACCCGCCCCCCACACCAGCCCCACCGACGACACCACAACGACCGCAAAGCCCCCCGGGCGCCCCCTCACGCGCTCGCTGACGGGCCGCGCGAGCAAGCCACGGGCGCGCGACGATAGCTGGTACGAGGCGCCCAAGGCGCGCAAAAAGCCCAAGACCGCCGCCGCCTCTGCGAATCCGCGCAAACACACCCGCGAGGAGGCCGAGTCTGAGGACGACGAATTGGATGCCCACCCTGCGCCGCCACCCGCCAGCGCCGCCTGCCCCGAACAACAACTACTACAGAGCCCCTGAGTCGCATTCAGGAGGCGTGGCGGTGCCGATCCCAGCACGCAGGCGGTCTTCATCCCCGCGTCGGCCGCGTCGTACGCCTATCCGGGCGATGGGAGTGGGACGCGCGCGCCAAGGACGCGCACGAATTTGCCTGTGCCGGTGCCGAATCTGATCAAGAAGAGTCGGGGGAGGAGGGTGCCGGTCGTGGCGGCTCTGGCTGGTGCTGCGCCTGGTGCGGCGCCTGCTGCCCCCGCTACGCCCGCGCCTGCTCCCGGTCCGAGTGCCCCTGGTGCAGCAAGTGGGGCGGGCGCGGGCGCGGACGTGAGCAGGCGGATGCACGTCTGCAAAGTCGAGGGGTGCGGCAAGTGTTTCCACCGCGGGGAGCATCTGAAAAGGCATATACTGAGTATACACACGCACGAGAAACGTGAGTCGTCATTTCATTCGTTCTTTTCTTTCGATTTTGTGTTTTTCTTTCGATTTTATGTTCTCTTTCGTTCTTTTCTTCCGTTCTCTCTGGAACTTGTGTTTTCGTCGAGCGTGCTCTACGGCGAGATGCATACACGCTCCCTCGAGCTTGCGCCCTGCTCGACTCGACCCGCGCGTCGTGGTCGAATCGTCTCTCAAGGAGGCTTGCTCCGCTCGTCGACGGCTCTTCCTTCTTCTTCCTTACTCTCTCGCAATCTCTCCCCATGAACGAGAGGGCAGCCCGTCGCACGTCGTGCGTTCTCTGCCCCGTCTCGTCTCGTCTCGTCTCGCGGCTGTTGGCTGTGCGCGTGTGCCAGCGTGTGCGTGGGTGTGGCACTCGTCGACGACTCTTCCTTCTTCTCTTTGGCATATCGCGCAATCTGGTCGTGTCTCCCCGACTCCCAGCGTAGCCTGTCGCACGTTCTCCGTCTCGTCTCGTCCCGTCTCGTCTCTTCTCGCGGCCGTTGGCTGTGCGTGAGATGGGATTCGGGTGCTCGTCCTTCAAACGGGGATCTATCTCATTTCATCCCATCTCATCCCATTTCATCTCATCTCATGCCATCTCGCTCATCTCGGTGTATGTGTATTGTATTGGGCAGCGCCGTCTCGGTGATTTGGGGTCACCGCAGCTGGGGTCGACTCGGCGGGGAGGCGTCGTTCTCTTTTCTGCGGTCTGCGGGTGGGGTGGATCGTCGTCGCAGTGCGTTTGTACCACTGCAGGTGTGGATGACGAACGCAAACGCAAACGCGGACGAATCAGTGGGTGGGTGGAGAGGTGGAGGAGAGGAGGCCGTTTTACCTTTGCTTTGCTTTGCTGGCGGCGGGGACGCACAGAGCCAGGGGACCGGCTGTGGCACTTCATCGAGGTTGAAGTCGGGCGCTGTACGACGAGCCGTCTCTATCCTTGGGCCAACACATCCACATCCGGGATCGCAGGTCCTGTCTCCTCTACGCGCCGTGGAGTGCGCGCGCGCTCTTCACCAGGGGGCTCTGCCGACGATTCCCTCGTTCCAAGGGCGTGGGAGGTCGACGACCGGCTCGTGTAAGGGCCACGGGAGGGATCGGGGATCGATCCGCCTCTACACGCCGTCGAGTGCGCACTGCTCTCTTCTGCGGGGGGCTCTGCCGACGATTCTCTCGTCCCAAGGGAGGGAGTCTTTTCGTGGTCTCGTGTAAGGGGGGCTCTCTTTGTCTCGTGTAAGGGCCAGGGCCAAGCGGGGCGATGGTCTCGCATCGAGCTGGGCGGGCGGGCGGCTGCCTTGTCGTTGGGTGTGGGCGATAAGATACGAGCATGCGGACCTCGCGTCTCTTACCTTCCCTTCCCTTCATCTCGCACTGCGTTTCGGTCGAGCTGGCCCTGCATCCTCATCCTCATGTCTCTCTTTTCCTTTCCTTTCCTGGAGTTCACAGATTCGTCCTCTGCACGCAGCTGCGCGCGCCTCTTCAATGCGGAGGGCGAGCTACAGCTCTGTGCTTCGCCTCCACGGGCGTCGACGCAGTCGATTCGTCCCCAAGGAGATGCGTATTCCTTTCAAGGGCTTTGTCCGCAATTGTAGCATACATATGTAGTACGGACCCCGGCTGTTTCTCAACGGGACCGTGCCGGAATACACTTCCTTGCTTCCTTCCTTCCATCAGGTTGTACCATTTGAATATCAAGATCGGTCACTCATGACTTGGAACAATGGAACGTACCTAATTTTCTCAATTTAAGGACGGCGCCACCGAGGGAGCAAATGTGTCAGATAATCAGGTGCTCGGCGGCGGCGGCCAGGTCATTGGATCGGTCGCCGGGCTCTCGGTTTCTCGCGATGGTCCGTGCCCTGGATAATTTTTGGCCGCTGCCACCCACGGTAGTATATATACTGCCAGTGAGTTCCCCTCGCTCTCACAAAGCCACATCGATTCTCACTTGAACTTACAATCGCCAAATCTACCCTGATCACAGACACCGATACGATGGAACACGAGGGGCTCTA